GGGGGGGGGGGGGGGGGGGGGGGGGGGGGGGGGGGGGGGGGGGGAGTTCTCACCCAACCGCAACGCCGCCCGCTTTTTTTTAAAAGAAATATTTTTGGGGATCGTTGTAGGCCTTAGATCTACGTGTTGTCCTTTTTCCTCTTTCATCAGAAGTCATTTTCTTTCCCCTTAGTCAACGTTTAATTTATGAGCACTACATGCCGTGTAAGTAACCTTTTTGAATGCATGTGTTGTAGGTTTTCAACAGCAACTTGTGGGGTTGAATTTCGAAAACGAAAGTAGGCCTACGTTGAACAGGTAGGCAAGTCCTAACATTTTGTCTCTTTTGTAAAGACAAGAAATGCCTTAGTTGTGCACTCAAAATGCTAAGTGCAGTGATCGGGGAACAACATGTTTAATGGGATTTTTCGTTCCAAATTTGGGCATAGTAGCCTACCCCCAAACCCAATATAGAGGTGCATTTCACATGCTGAAGTGTTCAAAATAAAATTGAATGAATTCAAAGTTGTAGGCCTATTCAATTTTTAAAACAAAAACCCGCGACTGTTTCAATTTTATTTTAATTTTCCCCGTTTTTTAATATTCAGTGTCAAGCAAACTAACGTCGCTCAAAAACAATTGACTGCTCTATAGGCTACAGATGATGGGGGGGGGGGGGGGGGGGTTCATAATTTTTTACAACTTTATAGGGCCTACTTGTAGGTGATAAATCAAAGAACAAATCTAGTGATGATTTCATTTTCAAAGTGAGTAAAACATTTCACAGCTGAACGTTTTGCGTTTGTGGTATGAAGTGGTTATATATACTTTGAAGTATCTTAACACACGTATGTTCTTTTTTTGGGGCTAGACGATGAATTATTTTTTATTATTCATGGTCCCAGGAGAGTGAAACTTTGATACAAACTTCTTTATGTGGGACCCTAAAATAATCGAACATTGCAATCTGTGCATTTACTATTTTTAAGAGCATGCCTGTGACCTCATTTGCACCTCTTTATTACCCTCTACCAGGGCGACTGATAGATTTTTTACAGATATTCACAGATATGTTTTACAGATATTCACAGATATGTCACAGATATGTCAAGTCACTTAGAACCAAAATGACCATCTATCTATCTAGAGACATATCTGAAAAATATCTGTAAAAAATCTATCAGTCGCCCTGGTAGAGGGTAGGCCCCTACCTCTTTATTGGGTTTGGGTGAGTAGGTCTACAACCAAATTAAGGCTCAAATGCTAAGCCATCGAATGTCCCGTTTTTAGAGTGCATTAAAACACATCTAAACGCTCGCTAAAACAGACAAATGTCAGGGCTGAACTATCAACTCAACATAATCTTGGTTTGGGAAAAGGCCTTAAGGCCTGTAGTCTATACACATTTAGGCCTATAGACTCTGTTCAGGTACGCTCGGCTGTTACCTTGATCTAGGTCAATCGATTATAAATTAAAACACCAATGTTAAAGGTGTAGGCCTACCACACTACAACATCTGGTACCATTATGCGTTAAAACGGCTTCATATTTCCAAACAAATTTAATAAAAGTCACTATATGTATAGGCCTACATGTAACAGGTCTGAGCCATAATATCTGTACCGTGGCCTACCACAAAGTTGTTTCGTGTAGAATTTTCTTTTCAGTGTCAAGGTGACACCCGAGTTAAGTGTGGCGTTTTATGCACCCAGCTGCAACATCAAAATGACTAACGTTTTGTTTTTCAGATATTAAAATAACCTCACAGAGAGAAAGTTGCTTGTCGACACGAAAAGCAGTGGCGGATTAAGAGGAGGGGGGGAGTCCTGTACCCCCGTCGGTTTCTGAAAAATATCACACCAATATTCCCCTCTTGAAATTAGAATTTTGACTAACCAATCATACTTCTAAAGGGCACTGTTTGTTCTCCAAAACACCAAAAGTTTTTTGGGGACCTTGAGCAGGCCCCGAACCCCACACCAAGGGAACGGTGGTGGGCTTCGCATCCGAGGCCTGGCGTTCCAGACCCCCCCCCCCTTCAAATAATCTTGGATCCGCCCCTGGAAAAGCAGAAGCTCCTACCCTCTGCCAGGGCCACAGATTGACTTTTCACAAGATATTCACAGATATGGTAAAATTGACGGTTATTCTCTACACTGTGACAGATAAAAAGTCCATATAATAAAATATGCGGCCCTGGTAGAGGGTAGGAAACTTCGAACGGGATAACATCAACGTCAACGATTGGTCGTCAGCAGCATGATCCTGCTGAAATGTGTTCTTTCTTCTCGATGAAATAGGGTTTCACTGTGTCTTGTATAATGATGTTAGAAAAGGAAGTCTTTTAAAGAGTTTTAGAAGAACAAAATATCATGCCTCATTATTACTTGGCTCTTTTGAAACTGTATACTTTTGATTGTTCACTTGTTCATTTTTTATTTATATGCTATGGGTAATACTTCTTATGTTTTATTTATTTATATGCTATGGGTAATACTCCATTATATTCAGAAATAAACAGACGAAAACAATAAGTCTCAAGAAAGTGATTGCTTGTTAAAACGTTTTTCTTACTTATTATCTATTTTCTATTGATTCATTAATGAAGATTTATTAATTTTGTAATCATGTTTTGTATAAAGCATATAGAGCGTGAGGAAAACTGGTAGATATGTTAATATTGATTGTGTCTTGAAAAATGGCCAAAGGCCAGAGTTTCTTTTCAGTCCACGTTCCGCGTCATGAACTCCAAGAAAAGCTAGGACCGTAATGTAATCAATTTCCAGGTCTGTGCATCAGATATGCAACTCAATGCCGCATCGATGCTCCACTTACATTGCAGTGCGGAGTGTGTTGGTTGTACCACGACGCAATTAGTATTTTTGCCATATACATCACTAAATGCAATGCGAAGGAGAAACTACGCAAGAATATAAATGTCATATATCCACACACACACACACACACACACAGTAACGTAACGTAACGTTGTGATAGACAGACAGTTTACGACGTAATTAATTTTTCTTATCGTTCTATAGTACGTGATTCCCTTTTTAAGGAGTATTTGCATTAAAGTAATGGAGTTTAATAATGATATAAAGTAGTATAATTATAATTTGACTTTATTTGAGGAGAAATTGTTACAAATTAAAAGCGGCCTTTGCCTTTTCTAAAGATTCAGCTTTGATTGTTGATAAATATATGGTGAATGAATGGGGAATGTCGGAGTTCAGACAAAAGTAATTAGAACCATACTTGGAGGGAATAGGATTTAATAATATTTTACAATAAAATAATTCGCACAGTATTAAATCAGTGGCCTGAGCATTTCACTTCAACCTAAACCAGGTTGCATACTTAACCATTACTTTCCGAAATGACCCATTGATTTAGTGCTTAAAGGCACAGTTGTACCGCTGATGGAGCAATAAGTCTTGATATGGCAAAATGAAGCCTGGAGCGAAAACCTCCGGAAAACTTGACTACATTATTTGGCAACATAAATGAGGTCAATACGGCAATTATAAACCCTTAAACCTATATCAACTCATTAACAGAAGGCAAATATTTTGAGCTCCAACCAACTTTTCTATTTGCTCGTTTCCTGCAAGTGGACAGGGTTCGTCTTGTCAGCAATGACGGTCTTGTCAATGGAGGGATCGAGGAAACCTTTGCCCGTCATGTCGGTGAAGTTGGTGCAGGATTTGATAGCAGAATTTGGCACCTGAGAAAGAAAATTGAATAAGAAACTATGCTCTAAAATGCTGGTGGGGAGGGGGGAGGGAGTTGAAATCTAATTTTAATTTTACAAAAAACTTCTGAGTTATTCTTCGACTTTGAGAGTTATCACATTGCTAAAAGCTTTGACATATACAGTTCACCGTATTTAGATAAATTATGCTCAAAACAAGTTGGTTCGCTGTCGGCACATTTTCAACTCGCAATCTGCACAGTAAACACAATTATACATCAAAAGGCACAATGGAGATTCTAAATGGTATTAAATATGCAAACGTTTCGTTATTTGAAGCACGCGTAAACTGGATTAGCACACCCAGTTTACGCACATTGGCAGATTTATTATCAAAGTGCTCCAGGGATACTCTAAACCAGATAAGATGAGGCCCCGCTTGCTTCCCGTGTCTTGAATGAAATTCTCAAATACCACAAAAGACAAACGAAGGTAAAAAGCAATTAATCAACTTAAACTATATCAAAAAGCAATAAAGCTACCAGAAGTGCTTCAAATGCCGAAACCAACCCACCAGGGTTTTTGGTGAAACTCAAAAATGGCTTTTCACAACACAACAAACTGCTCATTCACTGTTAACTTAAGTTAGACTTCGCATTGTATAGTTTTTTTCACTCGCAAAAAAAAAAAAAAAAAAAAAAAAAAAACGAGCGTGAACAAATGCAGAACATCACTCTAGGGTCACAACAGCATGCGTAGCATTTCAAAATTCGATTCTGCGCAGTGTAATTACTTGGTCAACAAAAACTATACTTACCACATCGAGGGGCGTGTACTGGGGATGGTGGTGCTCGTATACTGGGTTGTTTGACTTGGCGTTATAGGAAACAAGGAACGACCACCGGCGTCTGTCACTGTTGTTAGCATCACTCTTATGAATGAGGTTGGCACAAAATATCAATGCATCTCCTGTTGAAGACAATTGTTGTACGAAAAAAAGATACAGTTGCATATGTTCATTTCATAGTTGGAACGAACGGACACAGCTATAGTTTGTTTATATTTTATATCTATGTATCTTTAAAAACATTAAAATAATGACTGCCGGCCACAGTGCAACCACACAACCAAAACGCATGAAACACAGGGTCGTAGGCTGCTAGCTGGTGAGGGGCAGTTCCCTGGGGAGTTTTCAAAAAGACATATTTGGAAGGGGAATCTGTTTTGAAGTCTTAGTCTTTTGTCTTTCTCAAAGTACTTCAAAAGTATTTTATTTTTCTTTCAATCAACATCTAGCTAAGTACCACAGGCGGTACTTATGACCTGCTTGTATGAATAACTGGCCTTCAACAGCAGCCGCCCCACCCAAGCAATTTTTTTCAACCTAAAGTCCAGTAGCGGTATTTTATGTATCTAAGTAATTCAGAGAAAATGTACATATATTATTTTTTAAAGGAAACAGTCAGAGACCGACTTCTCATGATCCCCTTTACCTGGTTCCAGCTCCACATACTTCAGTGGACACATTTTGGCCAGATGTTGTACGCGTTCTTCATCAATACCGTTTTGGCCTCCCACCCGATGGTGATCTTGACGACCGGCCTTGTGAGAACCCTCCAGGATCTACCGGAGAGAAATCCAAATACATGCACTACACTCGGACTACAAGTATATCAGCGTACAGGGTGGTCACGTTTGAGCACGTGCTTGCACAAATTTACTTCAGTGAATCATAGATAATTGCATTTAATCTAAATTATCTACGTACATGTAGTTAGGTAAAGCAGAGGTCCGTTTCTCTCCTTTACAGTGCATTTATTTTATATATATTGATGGGCAAGTAATAAAAAATAAAAAAAAACACCATCACGTGACACACATCTCTCTTTTCTCTCTCTCATACACACGCGCGCGCGCACGCACACAAACACACACACTCACGCACACACACACACACACACACACACACTATACATAAATTACCTGCATACAGCCATTTTCAGGGTCATTTTTATCATAGGCAATGTAGACAGTATTCAGGTCTGGAAACAAGTTCCCGTTCTGATACCAGTACCTATAGCATTCAAAGGAAAACAAAAATTTTCATATATGCAAAAAAAAGATACAGCGAGAGAGAGAGAGAGAGAGAGAGAGAGAGAGAGAGAGAGAGATTTTGAATAGTTCTTGGACTTGAGGAACACATAACGCGTAGAACACCTGAAATCCTTTATCATACCCGTAATCCTGATGCCAGCGGAAACTTCCCCCTGTTTTGGGTTCTTTGATAGTTATCTTTGTGTGGTAGTGGTACACTTCACCTCGACCTATCAGCTGATAATCAAATAAACAACATTTATGAATCAAGATTTCTGTCACTCTTTGATGATTGGGGTAAGACTGTGAAGTTAGTTGGAAAGGCCCGACGGCAAGGGTTGATATGAAGAAACAGATGTGATGTACAATAAAAAATTCCATTCATATTTAACTCCCTGATTTGTTGTTTGTTTAGTTTGGTAAAAAAACAAGTTCTTCTTTATTGTCTAAAACAATTCTTTTTAAAAATATGTTAACATAGACCCCATTCACAGAGATTAGATCGATCCAACTAGATCGACCTAACTCCCTGGGGGTTAACACTAAATAGCTGTCAGCCTAGCGGGCACGAAAGTTAATTACCCCCTTACAGCTTGTAGCAGGCGGGACGGACATTTAAGCCGGATTATCTGACAGTAATCTAGTGAGACTCCCCACGGGGATAGATCGATCTAAAATCTATGGGAATGCGCCCATAGTCTCAGTAGAATGAATAGGCCTACCTTTTCCGATGTTCGCACCAGTTTTTCTGAGCGGATTATCATTCCCGTAACGTCGTGCCCAGGATGGCTCCAAATACATAAGCCCACTGCTTTATTCAGGCCGTCATCTAGCTGGAAAGGAAATATATGAAAAATATTCTCTCTCTCTCACTCCATAAAAAAATGTACAAACCTAATGTTCATTATATGTATCCTATCAAAAGCACGGAAAAAAACTAAATCGCGACATTTCAAATGACACTTATATATGGCTTAAAACCAACCGTACCTGATAGGCATTTTTCATGATAGCGTCCGATCCCTCCAGAGTCCTTTTCAAAAGTGCCATCTCTTCCGAATCCAGTAAGCCCCTAAACTTGGAGCACACAAAGAACACGGTGCAGATCATGTAACATAATATTATAAAGCAAAACATGTTAATCATTGAGAATCACAAATTATTCAATCACAGGGGAAACTGATGGAGTAATTAATTTAGAAATGGTTGGCTAAGGAGACTGTTGTCGTCATAGATATCACAAGGACGATAAATGATGTCATCAGTCACGCAAGGGTGTCTCATGACGTCATCAAAACGAGAAGAGTATACGAACTCACCACATGAATGACTGATAACGTTATATCAGGTCTTTCAGATATTTGCAGTCTTTTTGATAGATGCATTGATATTTTTAGAAATTCTTTTTTTAGAAATGTCTGTACATATGCATGTACCTGGAGGCAGGTTATTTGTACCGCAGGTTATTTGTAGACGCTGACTGACGGAGAAGTAAGTTTGGTGGAATACGAGAAATTAAATCTAAGACAAACACTTTAAAAAAGATGAAAAAGTAATTTTCATTAAAAAAAACTAGGGAGAGGGTAACAACTGCCCCCTTTGCCCCCTCTCCCCTGGTCAACCGAGGTCAGGGCAGCCGACCTTGGTTGGTCTCACCTGACTATTATATAACCGAGGCGGTTGTAATCCTCCAGCATTTTATCAGTGACTTCAAACGTATCTGGGTCATATCTGTACTCTGCAAGAAAGAGGGCAAATGTTTGTAAGAACAAGAAATTATAGGACTGTAATTCTTTGGTTAGATTAGGACTCAGTTGTATACTGGAGTGTACATGCAGTTTGTACTTGAATAGACTTAATACATCATTCGACCTCAGAGGATGTTTTAGCTATATTTGTAGGTCAACGGTGCAGGCTTGAAGAGAGCACTAAACCAATGGCCTTGATTATTCCATCTCCTTGCATATTCCTAACCGTTGTACAGGAGAGCATCAGGCAGATCTGACTGTATTTTGTCTTGTTATGTAATTACAGGCTTAACTTCGACATCGTTAGTGCTCTACATTCTACATGCAGTCTTAATTTTGGCCTTTTCTTACCTCCATCCATCTTGATCTTGCAGCAGTTTGAATGTGGTTCATCACAGGGAAACAGCTAAAACTGACGTGTGCACAATCTTCATACCACGAGTGGAATGATATAAGGGACCAGAGGGGTTGATGTCTGAAAACTAGGTCACGATGCATAGTTAAAGATAGTAAACCACTAGCTGTTTACGTACCAGTGTTATTACATTATATATATATATATATACTTCAAAGCATTATTTCTCTGTTACTGATTGTTTTAGTTTGTGGTACTACTTGTGTCTGATACCCTGAGTATTTCAACGGTTAACAAGTGGTATTATGTAAAATGAGCCAGATGATATGTGGGCAGCATACTTATAGACTCAAATGTAAAAATGTGTGATGTATCACACATCAAAGTAAAAACGTTATAGTTATTACAGAAACTGAAAGGGAAAAACAAACACATCACTGGCGGGGTGGTGGTGGTGGTGGTGGTGGTGGGGGACCTTTTTCGCAAATGATAAGTTAAGGGATTGCATATATTTCATAAACTTTGAATTTCATTGGTGTTTTTCATGTGCTGCCTGACTTAATAACTGCTTGTTTCATAGGTATTGTATACATTTTCGAGAGTGTGATAGACATAATTTGGTAAAATTAAAAGCTATATCTATAGCTTCTTTTCAGCTATTTACGTATACATGTCATCATCTCTTTTTTATGTGACTAATCCAGCTGATGGCACATATCCAGGAGACGGTATTGCCACTCTTATCCTCTAATTTTGTTTCCTGAACTGCATCATTCAGGAACTGCCGCGTCTCCCCAGATTTTCGTCTTTTTTTATGGGTATGAAGAAAACGGGTTGAGTGGGAAGTACATACAGAGTGCATGCTGCAAATAATGCACAGTCTCAAACGATACTTTTTGCATTGCAAATGGTGATCTTAATGCTAGTTTAGATTTGGTAGTTGTTATCAATAAAACATGTACATCAGCACATCNGCAAGGGTGTCTCATGACGTCATCAAAACGAGAAGAGTATACGAACTCACCACATGAATGACTGATAACGTTATATCAGGTCTTTCAGATATTTGCAGTCTTTTTGATAGATGCATTGATATTTTTAGAAATTCTTTTTTTAGAAATGTCTGTACATATGCATGTACCTGGAGGCAGGTTATTTGTACCGCAGGTTATTTGTAGACGCTGACTGACGGAGAAGTAAGTTTGGTGGAATACGAGAAATTAAATCTAAGACAAACACTTTAAAAAAGATGAAAAAGTAATTTTCAATAAAAAAAACTAGGGAGAGGGTAACAACTGCCCCCTTTGCCCCCTCTCCCCTGGTCAACCGAGGTCAGGGCAGCCGACCTTGGTTGGTCTCACCTGACTATTATATAACCGAGGCGGTTGTAATCCTCCAGCATTTTATCAGTGACTTCAAACGTATCTGGGTCATATCTGTACTCTGCAAGAAAGAGGGCAAATGTTTGTAAGAACAAGAAATTATAGGACTGTAATTCTTTGGTTAGATTAGGACTCAGTTGTATACTGGAGTGTACATGCAGTTTGTACTTGAATAGACTTAATACATCATTCGACCTCAGAGGATGTTTTAGCTATATTTGTAGGTCAACGGTGCAGGCTTGAAGAGAGCACTAAACCAATGGCCTTGATTATTCCATCTCCTTGCATATTCCTAACCGTTGTACAGGAGAGCATCAGGCAGATCTGACTGTATTTTGTCTTGTTATGTAATTACAGGCTTAACTTCGATATCGTTAGTGCTCTACATTCTACATGCAGTCTTAATTTTGGCCTTTTCTTACCTCCATCCATCTTGATCTTGCAGCAGTTTGAATGTGGTTCATCACAGGGAAACAGCTAAAACTGACGTGTGCACAATCTTCATACCACGAGTGGAATGATATAAGGGACCAGAGGGGTTGATGTCTGAAAACTAGGTCACGATGCATAGTTAAAGATAGTAAACCACTGTTTACCAGTGTTATTACATTATATATATATATATATACTTCAAAGCATTATTTCTCTGTTACTGATTGTTTTAGTTTGTGGTGCTACTTGTGTCTGATACCCTGAGTATTTCAACGGTTAACAAGTGGTATTATGTAAAATGAGCCAGATGATATGTGGGCAGCATACTTATAGACTCAAATGTAAAAATGTGTGATGTATCACACATCAAAGTAAAAACGTTATAGTTATTACAGAAACTGAAAGGGAAAAACAAACACATCACTGGCGGGGTGGTGGTGGTGGTGGTGGTGGTGGGGGACCTTTTTCGCAAATGATAAGTTAAGGGATTGCATATATTTCATAAACTTTGAATTTCATTGGTGTTTTTCATGTGCTGCCTGACTTAATAACTGCTTGTTTCATAGGTATTGTATACATTTTCGAGAGTGTGATAGACATAATTTGGTAAAATTAAAAGCTATATCTATAGCTTCTTTTCAGCTATTTACGTATACTGTACATGTCATCATCTCTTTTTTATGTGACTAATCCAGCTGATTGCACATATCCAGGAGACGGTATTGCCACTCTTATCCTCTAATTTTGTTTCCTGAACTGCATCATTCAGGAACTGCCGCGTCTCCCCAGATTTTCGTCTTTTTTTATGGGTATGAAGAAAACGGGTTGAGTGGGAAGTACATACAGAGTGCATGCTGCAAATAATGCACAGTCTCAAACGATACTTTTTGCATTGCAAATGGTGATCTTAATGCTAGTTTAGATTTGGTAGTTGTTATCAATAAAACATGTACATTAGCACATCAATTCTGGTGCTGATTGCACATGTTTTCAAACAATTAGGTCGACTTCTTGCAGGATAACTTAATTCGCTCTATAACCCCTTTTAAACTGTTAATCGACCTGTATTGTTGGATAATATTTTCCATGGCTGTAATGGGAAAATTGCTGATTCTACATGTCGAGCGTGAGTAAACATACATTGTGCATTAAGGTTATATGATCTAATTATACCCGGCCAATGTGTCTGGTAATGGCTCTTCTTCTATTTGGCTTGCTTTCTGATATCATGGATTCAAATATAGGGAGGCATTGAAAATGAAAAACCCAGTAAAAATTATGAAACGATAGACCCTGCGACACTGAGGTTTTAAACGTGTCATATATATAGAAGGAAGGCTATATTTTTTCCGAATATTTAAAATTATTTCTTTGATTGAAGATCTTTTATAAGAAGGTGAAATAATCGGCATCGAAGTGAATCTGTCTGAAGTGGTCAATCGGGTTGCCAAAAGTCTGCATGGGCTGTTCAATTATATTTGGCTATTATCTTAAATTTACTTTGAACTCGAAACAATCTGCACTGAAATAGAAAGTGGCTGGTAGACACACTTTTTGCGTGACATAGTTCTCGAAAGTAATTTAAACAATTTTTTTGCCTATCATATTGTCTGTTTTTTCTATTGCTGCACATCACTAAGTCTGATTGCTTTGTGGGTATGTTGTCAGCTCTTCATGGTTAGAGTCTGCATTTCGCATTGCCATAAGTAATTGATGTCCAAGGGTTCACAAAAGTATTCTAGCGTACTTTTGGGGTCAATCTCCGCTTCATACATTGTTCGCTCATAATACTAGGTTACATCAACTGTACAGGATGAGAACCAACTAGAAAATATTTTCGAAACGGCAGGCAATGTAATTGGAATGGATCTTACTCCCATTCATTCCATTTATAGAGTTAAAAATAAAACAGCTTCCATCATAACTGATACTACTCATCCAACTCATACCTATTAAAATTATCCAGTAAATCGAGGCTTTTAGTTTGTAAGGGTAGTAAGCGATTTTGATCTAGCTTTTAGCCTTCAGCAGTAAATCCTTTTAAAACTAATATGTAATTTCATTTTAGTACATTTAAATAGTTTAATTCAACAATGGCGCTATTACCGGGCAAAAGGTTCCCTATTTTATACATTTATATTTTATTGGTTTAATAAAATATTATCTTATCTTATCAATAGTCGACGATCTACGACCGACATACGTAAAATGCTCTCTTAAATTTTGATATCATGATGGAAAGATTTCTCGAGATCGTTAAATTCAATGCAACACCAGTTGCATCGTTTCGTTTTATCTCAGGGCTTTTAAGATGTCTAATAAAATTTACAATAACCAATAGATGGCAGTGAGAGACTCTCCCTTTTTCTCTTTACCCAGTTTCCAGATTCATGATCTTAATGGCTGGCGAGGACAGGGGTTAAGTAGTGGGATATCCCGATACAAACTTAAAAGACATTTTTCACAAACACATGTACGATGTGGCGTATTTTGTAGTACCGCATGTATCAAACATACTNGGGGGGGGGGGGGGGGGGGGGGTGACCTTTTTCGCAAATGATAAGTTAAGGGATTGCATATATTTCATAAACTTTGAATTTCATTGGTGTTTTTCATGTGCTGCCTGACTTAATAACTGCGTGTTTCATAGGTATTGTATACATTTTCGAGAGTGTGATAGACATAATTTGGTAAAATTAAAAGCTATATCTATAGCTTCTTTTCAGCTATTTACGTATACATGTCATCATCTCTTTTTTATGTGACTAATCCAGCTGATGGCACATATCCAGGAGACGGTATTGCCACTCTTATCCTCTAATTTTGTTTCCTGAACTGCATCATTCAGGAACTGCCGCGTCTCCCCAGATTTTCGTCTTTTTTTTTATGGGTATGAAGAAAACGGGTTGAGTGGGAAGTACATACAGAGTGCATGCTGCAAATAATGTACAATCTCAAACGATACTTTTTGCATTGCAAATGGTGATCTTAATGCTAGTTTAGATTTGGTAGTTGTTATCAATAAAACATGTACATCAGCACATCAATTCTGGTGCTGATTGCATAATGTTTTCAAACAATTAGGTCGACTTCTTGCAGGGTAACTTAATTCGCTCTATAACCCCTTTTAAACTGTTAATCCACCTGTATTGTTGGATAATATTTTCCATGGCTGTAATGGGAAAATTGCTGATTCTATATGTCGAGCGTGAGTAAACATACATTGTGCATTAAGGTTATATGATCTAATTATACCCGGCCAATGTGTCTGGTAATGGCTCTTCTTCTATTTGGCTTGC